GGGGGTCCGGGGAAAGCGGTTTGGGGAGGGAATGTTGACAGGAGCTCCAATCCCTCCTCTGGGCTGTCTGTTTTATTTCTTTCTTTCTTTGCGAATAGGCAGGAGCGAGTTCGCGCTGCGTTCGTTAGGCTCAGACGGCACATCCCCACATTTCTTGTTGGCATCTAAAAATCTCAAGTTCGCGCTGCCTAGCTCAGTACACGGCGAGTTCGCGCTGTGCGGGAGTGCGGCCCCTGCACCGCGAGGCTCTTGGCGGAGATTTTCGAGGGGAGGAGGACAGGGTCCACACCTGCACGAGCAGGATTCATACATACATACAGAGAGAGACAACCCCCTCTCTCTTTTCTCCCAGTAAGCTAAACGTACGTACGTACATACAGGATTTTGGAAGGACGATCAAACAATACGAAAGGGAGGGATGGTGGCTCACTGTCTTCTTGTTTTCCAGTCGTAAAGAAAGAAAGAAAGAAAACAGACAACCCAAGGGAGGGATGGGAGGACGGTACGCCGCCACCACACAGGGATTTTAGGGGAGAAGTGTGGTGTAAAGAAAGAAAGAAAACAGGCAAACCCAGACGAGGGATGGGGGAGGAGGACCGGGTCCCCACCTGCACGAGCAGAAGTGTGGTGTAAAAGAAAGAAAGAAAGAAAACAGACAACCCAAGGGAGGGATGGGAGGACGGCACGCCGCCACCACACAGGGATTTTAAGGAGAGGAGTCCCGTTCGTGCGAAGCATCGAAAAATTCTTTTTGTGCTTGCCTTCGAAGGTCGCCAATGGCAGGTGAGAGGCCTGACACCGCGATGGAGCCCGGCTCCGCCGCGCTCGAGCCGCGCGCGCCGCAGCGCGTGATGATCACACGCATGGTGCTCGACAACTTCAAGTCGTACGCCGGCCCCATCACCATCGGCCCCTTTGACGCCAACATGACGTCGGTCGTCGGCCCGAACGGCAGCGGCAAGTCGAATGTGATCGACGCGATGCTGTTCGTCTTTGGCTTCCGCGCCAACAAGATGCGACAGGGCAAGCTCTCCGAGCTGATCCACTCCTCCTCGCGGCACCCGAACCTGCAGTACACCAAGGTCTCGGTCCACTTCCGCGACGTCGTCGACCTGCCGGACGGCACG